CAGCTGAGTGCGTCGCAAAGTCCCAATGACGTCTGTCCGCATGTGTGCTATCTGTGCGGGCGACTCCGACCGGCTGTAAATAGGTGACATATGGCGCATCATTTGAGATGTGTCGCTGGTGGTTGCCTTAAGTTTCGCATATTTTCTATGTTCGGGGCGTAGCATTTATTTGCAAGTATCTGCGTATAAAGTGGTCAAGAAGTGTATCATCGCTTTAAATGCAGCTTGTATGTGATCACTTGCAGCAGCGCTGTAGAGCGCCGATAAATGCAGCTCGTAAGTGATCACTTGCAGCAGTGCTGTAGACAGCCATCTGGGCATTGTAATCGCGTGAGGACTTCTGGTGCTATCCATTTTTGATGAAGTTTACTTGATATGGCCTTGATCCTCCAGTCTTCTCACTTTACCAGGTCAAAACAGCAAGTATAATTATATCCTACTGTGTAAATGGATGATGCGCGAGGACCTAGCTGGATAGTCAGATTTCTTATGACAAATCACGTTATGAACGTGCATCCAACCGGTAATTAACCACCGAGGTCATGCGTTTGGCCTTGACTTTGGGCGGTTTATCAACAGGCAACAGCCTTTGCTCTCATGTCTGATAGCCATAATTGCGACTAAGCTCTCCCAGTTTGTGTTTAGATGGTTCAAATATTACAGATATAGATAGATCAAATTATGTTATGTAAGTTGTTCAGTGCATTCGCAAAAAAACATTATTCACATAGATAACATAGTAGTAATAGCCTTTTTCCTCGGAGTAAAACCAGGATAATGGGAAATAGATTGGTTGATATTTCGGCAACATGTCTTTATCGAAACAAAAGCAGAAGACACAAATGATTTCCTATCGCGTGACTGGAAAAAGCTGTTTCCTGTTTACAGACCGCCCAAGGTGAACGCCACTTCTGTCATTGTTTCGATAAAGGCATGATGCCGAAATATCGACCAATCTATTCCTCTATTCCCCTGGTTTTTCTCCGAGGAATAAGGCTATTACTGCTGCCTTATCCAGACAGCATAACATGCATGAAGACCGCGGTTCAGCTCTCATCTGTACAGCACGTGACCTTGTCTCTGGGCCTGATGCAGCGCGTGAAACATTCGATACCTTCCTATGTCCATGAGATACGCTTTTAAATGAAATATTTGTGGCAGCAGCCAGATGTTCCAAAGCAACATTTTAGGAATTTGACCTTGACTTGTCACCTTTATGCACATTTAAACTTAAGTTTGTTGTGTGGTCTCAGACCATACGCCACGGCGCTATCGATTGCGACTTGAATTATTAAATTCGACCCGGCCGTTCCTGAGATAAGCAGGGGAGGGGGGGGGGGCGGGGAAATCTGCCCCTCCCCGGTCAGTGGTGTGCCGCCGGCGAGTCCGGTCGATGCCGGGATTAAGTGGAAACTTTACTTTAAGAACACCACAAAACAACAAAGGCCTCAAAGCATTAGAACCACGCACGCCCGTAATCTTCGTCCCAGATTAAATGTGCCCACGTCGGTCTTGAACGTAACTTGAGTGGAATTTCTCTGCAAAGTAAGGTTCGAAAACAGCTCGCTAATCTTTGATTTGAACACTGGCGTCCATTGACAGGCTGCTTTGTAACCTTGAACTCGGGACGGGTCATCGAAACCTTTTGACTTGCCGAAAGTCTTCTGCTGAGTATTTCGTTCTGATTCGGGCGGCCTTAAGCACGGTGCCGTGAATTATACCTGTCAGGATGAGGGGACCTAAGTGATTGCAGTGATGTTTTTGGTAAGTTAATTTGTGCTCTTACATTTGGTGTGGGTCATTGGAACCCTTCGGCCTGGCTGTCTTCGCTTAGAGCAGTCGTGCACATAAAGCGTTTGCCAATATCTGCCTCACGATATGAAAAGGGAGCGCATTACTCTAGGGGCTTAACTCAATTTCCCAGGCAGCCATCTCCTGGCATTTGGCCCCTATTCAGCATAATCGCGGGAAAACGAAAACCCGAAAGTCCAGCTTTCAAGTTAAGTGAACATGTGAAGGGAGAAGTGGCCATTAAAACTGGATCAACGCATTAGATTTAGAAACAAAGTTTTCTGGAGGATCACGTGGACCTTCCCGGCCCAGGACTCCTAGTGTACACATCAAGCAATGATGGCGTGTGCATGCCCGCCGATGTTTTTATAGCATGTTTTATAACGACATAATCATATAACGTATTAACGTAACCACACAAGGCGCACAATGGTTTTGCCTTCAATGTGGTACGTAACACCACCTTTTCATATTGATCGTGTCCGTCCCGGTGCCTCATTGGGATAAAGCAACGGGTTTCAAAACGCTCCGGATATGCTCACCGGTGTCAGGCTGGGTTCCGGTCGCTTTCACCGCTCGCTTAAAACAAATCGATCATATTTTAGATGCTTGCTTGCAAGACATAAATGTATTCGTAATCTTACTGGAGTAAGCAGAGAACTGCTATTAAAAGCAAATTCAACCTCAGTCAATCTTGCGCACCTGAAATATTGCCGTCTTTACACCTGTTTGAAGGCAGCAATGCTGTCGGCTTAATGCTGTCATAAAAAGTACTTAAGTGCTGTCGTAACCACTTCATATCTAGTTCCCATTATGGCCAAAACTTGACGAAAGTTATTGCAGCGTAAAAGGAAAGTTCAAGGTGAAAGAATGCTCTCAACGTCATGGCACTAAATCGTAGCTGGCCACGCCCACCGAACATGTGTTGAGCTTACAGAAATAAACCCTGTGATCAGATCATTTGGTCTTATATTCTGGATCTTCCGGGACCCTAAGTTAATTTCAAATTTTGTGGACACATTTTCTGTGATCCATGATGCATCAGTAACGTTGCTCAGGGATTCTCAAGGACCTTCGATGCTTTTAGATTTTTATTGAAGAATGCTCTGCGATGCTCAGGCCAAGGCAAGGTGTCCACTTTGGTCTGTCTCTTTTACAACATTTGGCCTGAAAACAACCAGAATTGTGTTTGTCTGTATCTCATTATTCTGCAAAAACAGCTCTTTTGATACCCTTAGTGAAAAACGCTTAACTGCTTTGGTGTCAACCTATTTAATTCGAAAGCTTCTTTTATCCAGTGTCATTCCTTTTAAAGAGCAAATGATGCTGCTGACTATCTTGACTATTGACGTTTACAAAACGCAAACATAAAAAGTGTTTTTCCGCGCCAGCCAGGACGGGCAAGCAGGGCACATTGCATATTCACACAAAGACACACCTAAAAAGCGACATATATTTAAATACAAATGTAAAAGGAATTGCTATGCAGTCAGCCTTCGTGTGGCGTGCTTCATGTTCGTGTCACGTTCCGAACGATTCCAACGATTCCAACAAAATGCACTCGACTCGCGTCACTGGAAACGACCCTGGCCGGACAATGGCTAAAGTGTCGTCGGTTTTTGGTCGTCTGGCACTGTGTTCTCACTTTTCTTAATGACATGCACGTTGGGAACTACATGAAATTTTCCGAATAACCATCAAATAAATGTTCCGGCCATGTACCATAGATAAGTCTTCTAGTAACCATATTTACCCATTTGTACCCAAAGCTGTCTCATGTTGAGCTCGCTGAAATATCGGACAACGTTGAACCATTTGCCCTGATCTGATGCGATCTGACCAGGCCCAGTCGTATCTTTGAACCTGGAGTGTCTGGCTAGTGGAGCAGAACTACTACTGTTTTTTAGCTGACCCAACCCGGCCCTTAACCGAAGCACGGGGTAATTCACTTTAAATCTAAATTTTAAATGAGCCGTGATTTTCATACACATTTATCAGCATTTTCTCCATTTTGCAGATATTTGGATGTTTTGGCATCTTTGTTCTAAACGTCAGTGTTCATCTGCATAGCAAAACGCATCCACCGCGGTCTAGTGAATACGAGTGCGCCTCTCCAACTTTCAGTGGCCCACACCCACTGATCACCGGCTGAGCACGCTCTTGCGTGTTCAGCCGGTGATCAGTGGGGAGATGAGGCCTGTGCTTGTACTCGCAGATCACAGATGTTGTATTAAGGCATCACCATGAATGTTCCGTAGTTTTCAACAAAACTTTCCAAATAGTGAGTGCTTGACCTTTTAATTTGCTTGCTTGCTGAGGTATTACTTTCCAAAATCGCTTAGGGGCTTAGCAAAAAGGTGGACCAAAGTTTCTCCCATAGCTGATTTCTTCCTGGATTTCGGCCACCTAAATTTGCGTCCTTATTAGAATTTAAAATAACTTTGTCATATTTTGTAAATTTAAAACTGCTTATTTGCGTAGAAATGATTTTTCATTTCAGGTTAATGTGGTGAGCAGCATTTTTTATAGGAACCTCAGAACGGAGTTTAATTCGCAGAAAAAAACGTCGTAGTAAATCTGGTAAGGGATCACTGATGGCTATTGCTGTTGCTGGGCTTGCTCTATAATTACCACAGCCACGATTATGTGACAAATACACCTACCACTGTTTGGAAAAACATAGTTAACTTTCATTTGGACAACCTTGTTCTTTCAAAACACCAACCCTAAACTTTTGCAAGCTGCCATATGCCGCAATCACTTGGTGTTATTTCAGTCCCGGTGTCATCATTTGAACAAGTTGTCAAACGTTTGCAGGCCGGCTTAGCATATGAAGAGGTTCGCATGACGAACGAAACATCAGGAACCTGCAGGATATTATTTGGTATAAAATGCACAATGTTTTAATGGTGATGTGTTCAGGCATATGCTACCTAATCTACCAATGGTTTGTTCAGCAAATCGTTCTGTACTTATGTGGCCCAGTATACCCCTTTTACTCACAGGCATTCAGGGACTCAGAGGAGGATTGGGGTGGGGGCTCAAGCCAGGAGCGGGGGGGGGGGGTCTCAAGCCCCTGAAAGGTTGTAAAGTGCTTTGCTTACTTGCACTTTTAAAATGGATATTTCAGGTGACACACGCTGTGGTTGCCTGAGCCATGGTCTGTCCTGACCTGGCATGACCTGGAATAACCTGAGACGGGGCGGCAGGCGTGGCTTACGCCATCCGACAGGCCGGCCTGGGGTTGGGCCTGCTGCTGATCGTGCTGGTGGCCTGGATGACGGACGCCTCGATCGTCATGCTCATCAGGGCCGGCAACCTGGCCGGCACCAGCACGTACCAGGACACGGTGATGCGCGCGCTCGGCACGCCCGGCTACTATGCGCTCACCTTCCTGCAGTTCACCTACCCGTTCGTCGGTCAGTAACGCGTGCCGCGCCGAGGATACCGTCGGCGGTGAGATCTTTTGCCACTGGCGCCACAGCTGCTCACTGTACAGGTGTCCCGCGTTCTTCAGAGGGCTGTGATGTGAACGCGTGCTGTGCCAACTGGCTCGATTGCGCCAGGTGCGGGTTGTATGTGGGCATGTGGTGGGAACGTCGATAACCACATGTAAAGTGTATGGTGCCAAAGGCCAAGGAAGGCTCTCCCTGCAGCTCCCAGTGGTGTGCTGTGGTGTTTAAATCACTGCGCGTAAGGGGTTTCTGGTGAAAATACCTATGTCGAGGAAAAGGGTTTTTAGTCTTATCTCGACTGTGGCCGAGAGCGTCTAATCTGAGACTCCAGACCCGTACATCTGGGATTCCAGAGCCGGCCGTCTGTAATCCCTGACCCGGCCATCCGTGGTCCCTGACCCGGCCATCTGTTGTTCCTGACCCGGCCATCTGTAGTTCCTGACGCTGTCGTCTGTAGTGCCTGAGCCGCCCATCTGTGGTTCCTGACGCGGTCGTCTGTGGCCCCTGGCCCAGCCGTCTGTGATCCCTGACCCGGCCATCCGTGGTCCCTGACCCGGTCATCTGTGGTCCCTAACCCGACACACTGTGGTCCCTGACCCGGCCATCTGTCGTTCCTGACCCAGCCATCCGTGGTCCCTGACCCGGTTATTCGTGGTCCCTTACCCGACAGCCTGTGGTCTCTGACCCGGCCATCTGTGGTTCCTGACCTGGCCGTCTGCGGTCTCTGAACTGCCAATCTGTGGTCCCTGGCCTTGCCGTCTGTGATCCCTGACCTGGCCGTCTGTGGTCCCTGAACTGCCAGTCTGTGGTCCTTGACCCAGCAGTCTGTGGTCCCTGACCCGGCCATCTGCGGTCCCTGACCCGTCGGCAGCTCTGCTCAGCTACAACATCATCATCGGAGACAACTTCACCAAGGTGTTGATCCGGATGACGGGCGTGCCGGCCGACAACTTGGTGGTGCGCCGCGAGTTCGTCATCATCGCTGCCACCCTGCTCATCACCATGCCGCTGTCGCTCTACAAGCAGATCGGCAAACTGGCCAAGATCTCTTTCGTCTCCTTCGTCATGGTGCTGGTCGTCGTCGCCGCCATGGTCTACCGCACTGTCACCATGTGGGAGCAGGTGTGAGTACCGTAACAGCCTAGGCTAAGGAATGTCAGTCGTTGGAAGAGGTGTTACGGCACAAATTGTTAGATAGTAGGTAAGGTCACAAAGTTTGTCTCTTTCTAATTTGAGGCATCCCACGATGACGGAAACGTTCTAGAGGTTATTTTGTAGTCTGAATCCGCTTGTGCAATGCTCATCTCAGAATAACGCCCTCCTAGGCTAGCATGTTACATGTTATTCTGCATTTCTGCATGGTACACTACATATTGTGCTGCCCATACCACTGTAACACACACACACCACACACACACACACACACACACACACACACACACACACACACACACACACACACACACACACACACACACACACACACACACACACACACACACACACACACACACACACACACACACACACACACACACACACACACACACACACACACACACACACACACACACACACACACACACACACACACACACACACACACACACACACACACACACACACACACACACACACACACACACACACACACACACACACACACGCACGCACGCACGCACGCACGCACGCACGCACGCACGCACGCACACACGCACACACGCACACACGCACACACGCACACACGCACACACGCACGCACGCACACACGCACACACGCACACACGCACACACGCACACACGCACACACACACACACACACACACACGCATATATGTATATGCGATATATATATATACATATATATATATATATATATATATATATATATATATACATATATATATATATATATATATATATATATCCTGCAAGTTCTGTGATCTGGCATGACGAGGAGACAAAGAAAATCAATGAATTCGCCCCATACAGAACGGAGCCCATGAATCGGCTGCTGATGACGAAAATGCCAGCAGAGAGCTTTTTTAAACAATGGTTATTAACCCTAATAATGACTTACCTTTCTGGGAGTTCAACCGCGGATCAACTGATAGTAGTGCAAATGAACGCCCTCGTTATTTCGAGGTTTGAGCCTGAAGTTATCAGCAGAGTTATCTGCTGCCCCCTGCAGGGCTGTGCAGTTCTTTGCAATATTGGAGTGACGGCGATCAAACTATTGAAGCAACAGACATTTTTACGAAGGCGTATGCTACTTTGGTAGCCTGTGGAATCTGAATGGCAGAAAAGGATAATTTCCTTAACCTGGGCTGATCCAATGCTCTTATCTCCACACGGGATCATTCCTTTCAGCGCTAAGTGACAAAGTGACAGACCATCTCGAGATCCTCCGGTCCGCACATGTGTTGGGCATGACTTCAGCAGAAGTGCAAAAATAGCGTCACGCGCTGACATGCACACTGCTAATTCTGTTTTGAATATGGACAACACACACACTGCCAGTTTCGGGGGAATTACGTGCTTTACTTTTTCCGATACGAATTCATCAAGCTGCCTGCAGCTGTGAAAATGTTGTTTGAAGTTGAGCGTAGCATGAGAAGGGGCTTTGCTGTCCGTCTTACGGCCATTTTCGTGAAATGGCCCAATAGTTCGGTGCATATTTTTGTTCAGCAGATGTTACAAACATGGCATGTTTTGTGTCAACAGAACCACAAGTGTATTTTCAAGCGATATTCATTACTAGGCCCAACCCTGGCTTAGTGTGTGCACTGCAAATCAGTAGTTCACCAGCCTGAGTAAAATTATTTCGGAGACAAGTTTTCAAGAGGGCAACAAACAACACAACTCTACACCAAGTTATTGATGACCGTTGTTTCAAAAGGCCAACAGCAAATGGACAGATGAGGTCATCCTATTTTAGGCCTTAGTGATAACGATTGTGCTCCGAGAATATTACTGAGGGAGTTCTGGCTTTTGTACGGGACCGACAGGGCGATGGCGATCTTAACACGATCGCCCACCGGCCGCCGGTACCATGGCGTACGGCCGGCCGCCGTGCTTTACCTCCCCGGTGGCAACCTATCCGACTTGGAAGGAGGAGGCAGGAGGCCGAGACCAATCAATGGCAACCGAGGACGAGGGAGCCGAGTCCGGTTAGTGCCGTGTTGGTTGCTGGGGGGCGGCGGCCGGTGTGGCGACGACATGCGCTGGTGCGGGGTCAGTGCCGTGTTCACGTGCCTGACAGTGGCGCTGGGAAATTCACAGTAATGAAAATGTGTTTCTTAAGCGGGCTTTTGGACGGCATAATCAGACGAGATTTGCCATTAAGGCGAGTGAAGAATGACTGCATACGAGCCAGATTGGATTGGTTTGAGGCTGATGAAGGCGGAAACTGACGCAAACTTAGCGGATGCATATGCACACGTGCTGTGCTAAAACTTTGCGACATTCAAGCTAAATGCTGAAGGGAATTGTGAGCCATTTTAGTCCAACTTATGTGAAATTGTTCTTATTGGCGTCCAAAAGGTCAGTATTATGACATTTCGATCAAAGAAAGCGATGCGGACTCATGTTCATGGTCGCAATTCGTCACAGACACTGCGGCTCTGGCTTTATTCACTGAAAAACGCTTTAAGGAAGACGCGAAGCAAACCCAGTGCGGTGAATTCGGGCTTTTGTTGAGATAGCGGCCATCGGGTCGGTCATAGCCGTTGTATTCTAAACGGCACTTTGCAGATCACAAACATTTGGCACAAACACATACAGCTTATGGAAAACAGGCAAATATCTTCGAGTTGTTTTAAGCTTATGGCAAATGCTGATGGCAGCCTATGGTAAATACCTTTGATTTGTTAATATGCCACATTGCGCGGTAACGATAATGGTGCCGCTCGGCGGTGGCTGAATTTTAAGAATTCGAAGGTATCCTTTCCTCATATTTTGCTTTGCACGATATTGGTGCAGATTTCATGCCACACAAGCTATTCCTGATCACGATCGTTCCTTCACATATGTTGATTTTTGCGACAGCCACCAGAGATGTGGCCATCCTCGCAACAATCGTTGATGACATATTGCTCCAATACGGCATTTTTGCGTCCTGCGCGGACCGCAGGTACTTCCTGTTTGTTTTATACTTGCTAACCATTTGTTGTGGAATGCCAACAGTCCAGGGTATAGTTTCTCCACAGGAGATTGGAGGGGGAACATGACAGCGACAAATGACAGAACCTATCCTTAAATTACGCCAGGAAACAGGTTTCTCCACGGATTTGACACATCTCCCTCTTAAGTAAAGGGGGGGGGGGCGAGGGAGCTCCAGCCCCGAGGTGAGCGGAAAACTAGGCTCTGGTTCGTCTTCTCGTGAAAAAAATATGAGCGTCACATGGCGTGTTACCTCACTATGATCGTATTTGGAGCTTTCAGTGTGTCCCCATTTACGACATGACACCAGGCTCTGGTCCAATCATGATTAAAAAAACTGCACGGAATGGTCTTCAAGAGGCCTATTTTAGTCCAAAACCCATATTAATGTGGAGCATTCCCTTAAAGCAAAATGGCTACCAGCGCAAGTGCGTCTGTGGTAGGCGCCCATCGCCGGGTTGTCTCACAGCCGGCGGAACACGGTGGCGACCAATTACATTACGCGTCCTCCTTGTTTGCCATCCTGGACCATATGTCGGCAGTCACGGATCGGAGAGACTCGGAAGTGGAAGATTCGATAAAGAATTGAGCTGGCGATCGCGCGGTGTGGATTGCTGGGCGGCACGTGCCACGTGCCACGGCGACACGAGCCAGCAAACTGGACTTTGCCGTTTTGGTTGATTTTTCTGTTTTGCGCCACATCTGAGCACCTAGAGCTTGGAGCGACTTGAGACTGTCAAAACCCGATAGGAATTCCAGCAGCGAATCGCGTGTTGCCATGCATGTGGTCACAAGCGCCACGTTTCACGCCGACGCGACCTGGAAAGATGGTTTGTTTTTGACGGGTTGACACGAATGTCACATCTTGGCACCCAGGACACGGAACAACTCGGGGGTGGCATGCTTCCATAAGGAATCGAGCAGGGAATCGTGAGGTGCAAAATGTGTGGTCAAACGTGGTACACGTCACGTGCGTACGAGCCAGCAAGATGGACTTCGCTATTTTCGACCGCTTGTTGTGTTTTGTGCCATGTCTGAGCATCCAGAACAGCTAGAGACGTGAGTCTAACTGCAAAGCGCAGATTAATCAAATGTTTACATTTTAGAAAGAGCACAGCGAAGCAAGTATTCAGAATCTTGCTAAGCCTAAAAAAAATTTATATCGTCGTCAGTTTTTAAGCCAGAGATCTTGGTGACGCGTGATTTGGAGCCAACGCAGTGAGAGATGTGATGGTCTGCCAACAACCAGATACAAGTACCAGGTTAGTATATCAGCTCACTCCCCACCATTAACATAAGGGGAAAGGATGGTAGTAATGTGAGAAAACGCTGGAGTCTGCAGACCCCTCCTCCGATTGGAAGTTGCATGCAACTTGTGGACATGCACTCTATTTTTCGGGGCGCAATTTTTGGAGACCTGAAAGTGGCTAGTGCGGGCTTTACACGGAGCTGGATTGTTTTTGCTACACATTTGTGTGCGGAAAATCTGGTTTTATACAACCACACTGGTTCTGGTATCTTCCCTTGGCATATCAATGTCAGCCAAATACAATCTAGCCTACTTTTCATGATCTGATTGTAAATGCAATAATTTCATCATAATATGATGTAACCTAGTCTTAATTGGGCCGGCGGTGGTAAAGTTGTTAGGGTGCTTGGCTCCGTACCTGATGGTCTTGGGTCCGAGTCCCTGCCACGCCACCACCGCATCCCACATGGTATACGTTATAAATGCATCTCATCTCGAAATGGCCTGGCAGTCGCTGTGATGTCAAACCCCAATAATCATCGATCCAGTCTTATCGCATCTTTGACCAACTGGTCTGGTTCTGTGTTCGGCATTCGTATGCCTACCACAGGCTGCATTCGCAGTTCCTTTATCTTTCTGTTCATTTTATCCTGTATCCCAAGTGCACCTGGTAGGTTTGATATGGTTTTCGGGATATCTACACACACACACACACACA